GGGGGGGGGGGGGCGAGTAGCGGGGCCTCGGCAGGCCACCTGGCCTTCAGCCCCAGTCCCTTTGTCTGTGCTGCAGGTCCTGGCCTCTTCCCTTGTCTGTAAGAGGGGGTGAGGGTTACAATGCCTGCTTTTTGGGTGCCTCGTTTTGGGGTAGCCTATGGGCTATATCTGTCCCATTGGAGTCCCTGAGGTTAATAATTTGCTACCGTCATCACCTAAGATAGAACAGCCACAGTTATGGTTTTAGACATCATTTTGGGAGAGTGTAGTCCAGGGGCCTTCGTGTCGTCGAGATGGTACAGGCTCCCTGCTTCCTCGGGATATGGCAGCTGGGCAGTGCCCAGGCCCCCCACCTCCAAGCCCAGTCTAGACCCACCCTGTCCACCTGATGCTACACCCCCACCCGTGCTGACATTTCCACTCTCATTGCACCTGCATTAGTCCTTAGTACCTGATGTGAAGTTAGACCTCGGAGCTTCCAAGAAATATTACCTTTAGCAATTGGCTGTTGTCAGAACCGAGGCCTGGGGCTCTGTGGTCCATTTGTCCTGTGATGAGCAGATAGGGGGTTGGAACCCAGCTGGGGACTGCGGAGAGCATTTAGAGAACAGCTCCTCCAGCTCCAGCTCCACTGCCCAGCAGCCCTCGGTGTCCTCATATATATAACGGGTGCACTTCACCTGAGCCTCATGATGACCTGCGAGATAGACGAGTGGGCTTGTTCTGCCTCGTATACTTTGTGAGGTTGTCACAGAAAGAGGTTTTCTCCCCTCTGTGCAGGACATATGGTGTGGGGCCCCAAGAGCCTCGGGCGGCTTCCCCTTTCCCCAGAAAGGGCAGTGAGTGTGCAGTAGCCAGGGACCTCCACCCCAGCCAGCCGTGCTAGGGCATCGAGCTCAGCTGTGTGTGGTGTGTGTGACAGCTGCCGCAGTAGCCCCTGCCCTGGCCTCAAGGCCACAGCAAAAACCTGTTTTGCTCCTGGGCCCTTTTTATAGTATTTTAAACTTTGTCTTCCCTTCTCTAATCTTTGTGGATACACTACCTTTGCAGCTCATTTACTTGAAAATTGCTGGGATGCTGTTTCCAACCTCAGACTTCTGGCACCCCGTGGTGACTCCCGCTCTGGTGTGTATGAGCCAGCTGCTCACAAAGGTACGTTTTCCCACACATGGACGGTCAGACCTGCTCCATCAGAGCCAGCAGGGCTGAGTGAGGGTCATGGACACTGACCCTCAGGGTCAGGCACAAGAGAAGTTCATCTAGAAGAGCCCGTGGGGATGAGTTGGGAGTTGAGATCAGAAACAACCGAGCTCCCTCACAGCACCCCGGCTTCAGCAGCCCAGCGGT